ACGTGAATGTAACTGCACACACGAGTTTAAATTTCATAAACTAGATGTACATCTTTAAATGACTTTTAGGGAGGACATTTTGGGTATTGAGAGTAACCGCTGCAGCTGACTCAGAGAAAATTGAGTGCTTTGCTGAGGATTGTAAGATTTCAAAAAGGCTCTCGACTGTAATTGAAATATATGCACACTACTACCCTATTCAAAATCGCTTTGGGTTTGATTTGCATTCACAGAAGGAATTTTAAAACGGTACGCGAAGCAATCAAAATGAACGTTCCCTTTCAATGTTCACATTTGGTTTCAGTTTGCATCAATCTATCAGCACCAAAATGAAAAGGGATCCGTCTGTGATGCAACAAACATTAACCCGACCTTTTTTTCTTTGTACAATATCCAAACCGGATTAAAGTGTTTCATCTCTAGTTACTGTTTAGTGGTAAGCTCATCTCCCAAAAGAACTGCTTGTTAAACAAAATGTACTGTTTGGTTGGATCTGTGCTTTGTTTTGTTAAAAGGGCTGGTACGGTAATTTTGCTAGATCATCGGGATGTTAAAGGCACGATGGAACGTCACCAAATTACCACCTCAGAGGCCGTGACTTCGAATCTTACCACTGCCGCCTGACGTTTGTTTATTTCGTGTGACAGCCCTTTGATTGCCCGCTTCCTGGTTCCTGAAAATTGTATCATTATGTACACAACCAATGGAGGTAAAACTGAAAATGAAACAAACAATTACACTCCAAACGGCTTATTTATTCAATGTTTAATCTCTTTGGTTTTCGCTGCACTGTTCAACTTTTGTATACGATAAAAAGTCGTTTTTTCTCTTGCAAACGCTCCACACTTCAGTTAGATGACGTAGTGGGAATGTGTGTTTAAAACTGTTCCCTGTACTACTTCACTAGGGAGAATCTGACGAGGTCATTATCGTTATTTCGAGCTCTTCGCAGTCATAGGTTGTTCCGCAAACACCAAAGAATGAAATCATGCTACAATTACCTGAGAGCTATAGATGATTTCTGTCATAAAACTGCGGAATAAATAGTAAAAATTGCGATAACTCTAACTTTATCCTCATAATTTACTCAACTGTCCCATAAAATCTCTGTTATGTTGTCTCACTCACGAACCGACTGCTTTGTTGGAAGCTTGTTTCGTGAATCCCCCGGGGAGGCCTTGCAAATGACGGAACACACTGTCATTGGTGCAAAACAGGAGAACGCTACATAATTCCACCTCCTTTGCATTGGTTACTTTGCATGTTGTTGCACGGTACACAAAACGCTCAGTCAGTGATGATGGCTCCGGATTGATCGATGCACACAACAGACACATACAAACACACACGCCCGTGCTAAGGGACTATGCTGTTCAGGCATAAACCGGTTTTCTGGGGTAGGATGGGGTCATCACTTGTTCCACCACGATTGTTCTGCAGCTGTATCGTTTTCGCCCGAATCACAGACCGTTTCACGTACATCTATCTAGTTACCCTCATAATTTTTCACTTCAACGTTCATGAAATACCTTATCGAATACGAGAAGTCAACCACAATACCAATTTGTTGATTATCATGCAATAACAATTCTAGTGAAAAGCACTTTACTGGTTTACTGGTAATTTATTACAGCATGCAGTTTATGATGTTATTAACATTTGATCAACGAAACAAATTTTATTTAACAGTTCCCCTCGAAAACCAGTGCAAGAAAATCAAATTAAACATCATTCCTCACATTGAGCAGTTCATGATGAGCAACGAATTTTCTTTTAAAACAGATCAATCAGTACCGGGTTCCAATAATTGTTTGTTTTTGTTTCACGCAGTAACATTTCGGCTGCGATCTTCTATCCAGCTATCGATAGATGGTGTCTCGCTGGCAAGCTGGTGTTTTTGTGTTTAGTTTCCATGAAAATCAGTATTTAAATCATCATCTGATTGTCCCCTGTACTGTTAATACACGTGATAACCTTCATCAGTGTTATTTTCTTCATCTATATGTGCTCTTGAAATTCTTGAGATTATTTACCTCTTTCGGTGGTAAAATAAGGAATTTAAAAGTTTTTTCTACCACTGTTTCACTTATCCCGGCTTTCTCCCGACATGTCCTTGGTGGTTTCTGTTCACTTCACCTGGTTGCATCCTATTTATTTGATCATACTACTCACCGTATTTATTTGTATCGGTATTGGCAAAAGGAAAAATAACATCACAATTGATGCGCCAGTTTTGGATTCAATAATGCAGCGGTTTCGTCCAGCAAACAAACATAACCCATGTACATTTTGTTTCAATGTTCTCTTTTCCAATCAAATAGTTATCGAAATTCCCTACTTTTTACAGAAAGGCTATCCAAGTTGTCGCACATCGTTTAAATTCATTTTAACAACTGTTATAACTGCTCTATGGGTTTTCGCTCTTTGAGTTCTGAATTAAATGAATAGCGAACTGTACACACAACATGAGTGAAGACATTTATACTCTCTAGGATACGTGTAAATGTTAGCCTTATTCCCTCAAATATGATCTCAAAAATATCGTTTTTATATTAATGATCTGGGAACCACGAGAGTAGGGATAACACATCAACTGACTTATCGCGCTTTCCACTGGTCATGAACTATGAAAGAATAAGACAATGTGATTCTGACAGATTTTAAGCGTCCGCTGAACGGAACAGATTGTTTTGCACCCAGTTGTTTGCTGATATGGTATCATGAGGCCCATCTTACTGCCAACTGTGACCACAATTCAACAGTTTTTCTGCAGTTGCCGTTCACGTTCTTTGTGACCAATTTCCTAATTACCATGTTTTATGCCGGTTTTTGTTGTTGTTGTCATCGTCGTCTTTTCTGTTGCACCAATCGGAATATACCTAACAAACGGTGTGCAACATCTTTGACAATTTATTTGAGTAATGATTGAATTGAGGATACTGAGCCGAATAACCTGTCCCGTGAAGAACTAAATAGCTTACCCAGAGACCTGTTTCATGTATTTGTACATATCTTTTTCCGGGTTTCATTTAATTGAATGTTTTCGTCTTTGGTCTGTTCAATCAAATTACCGATAAAGGAAAGCATTTCATGCTTAGTAGCGATAAGACTACCAGTTTCATTTTAATGCAAATGAGCAGTTTATAACAGTCATAATAACAGAACATCATAGTGCTCCAGTATGATTATTTATGAACAATGCATTCCAATGAATTTTTCAGACAGTTTTGAATTCACCTGTAGTATTTGAACGGCACAAAATTCTAAGCTGTCATGTTAATAAAGTATTTTATAACCCATCTCTACCAGAATCTATGACATATGACCCTGCCCTGCTCCAATAGAAAAGTGTCATTGCGGGGACAAGGAGAACGATTATATCTCACAAGGAGTTTCCTTGTTTCGTAAAGGATATACCCACACCGGGCTACATACTCAAAAAAAGGAAACCTACAATGAATGGTTTGAAATATATGAAACGATTATCACATTACATGGTGTTTTCGGTTGTTCAGAATGTATATAAACAAAATGTAGATCAAACGGGAGTGCTGGAAGGGTTTAATTTGGTTTCACATTGAATTTGACCAAATTCTGAGGAAAACAAACGTGAAGTGAAAACCTGAGGATTACTCTACAATTTTTCAATTGCTTAGGTATCGTCCTGGGTACAACTCTGTCGAACAAACTGAGGATCGAATTTGGGACATGTCCTTTTATCTGTAAACGACACCCTTCACTGTGAAATTCAATACAGTACTTCACATTTTTCTGTAGCAGATGGTGACGTTCAAACTATTTCTGTCTGAGTCATAACCACGGAATCTGATGCCATATGTGTGTGCTATATACGGTAATAAACAAAATGTAAAATGGTTGGATCAGCTGCTTAGTGGTCAAGTTAGTAATATTATCCTAGCTTTCTACCTGGGAGGTCTTAGGTTCACGCACTACTGATGAGACGCAAGAAAGTTGACTTAGTGAATACATTAATCTATAATCCAAATATATTGGTTTAGTAGTCCAATTGTGAAATGTAGCAGGCTGCGAAGGCTACAAGCATTGTGATAGACCAAATCCTTTTACACATTGTTATTGACTCCTGTCCATTTGAGAAAATGATACCGGTCTCCAAAGGAGATAGCGGGCATTAATGGTTACTATTGTCATCTCGTGAGCTAGATGGTATTCCAGGCAACATTTATTGAAGCTGATTATTTAGCTGAGAAGCTCGCATGTGCAAGCATATTTATATATAGGGAGAGAGAGACAGCGGTGGCACTCATGCTGCACAAAGGATTGAGTGATGCTGATGATCTCATCAAAAATATAGTGTGTTCAAAAGCATTGGGTAATGAAGCCTCTTAATCACTCTTATCCAGTATATCGACAATAGGCAAATACCTAAATAGTCCATCGACCGAATCTCACTGATCGAGTGATCACCCTGAAACTGCGACTATACTTCAGCCTGTTGACCAGAATTGATTGTTCGCATCCCATGTGAAAACTTCCAAACTACTCTGTCTGACATATGACTCAATGCAAAGGGTGAATCACATTCACTTAAATTTTCCAGGTGGCTTGAATTTGATCACCTCTGATCCATTTCAATGATTATTCTGACTCATGTATGCTTCAAGTAAATGAAATGGAAAACGTACTCAATCACTTTGCAAAACAGAAGGAAGTACCGATCAGTAGATTCATGCCTATATGTTTGGAATACTAAACAGTGGGTTGTGGGTGGAAATCTGAAATGGCACATGGACAATGAGACGGAGGGGGGCAAAATCTGAGACAAAATACTGACTCCAAGTAAACACGTATGTATGTACACAATATCATATGAACAAATGTTAGCTGGTGTGTGAAAGTGAGTAGGTTTTAGTGTGTCTGTGCGTGATAGTCATAGTTCAAGAAACCGGTGAGTGAAATTTTGTGACAGAGAAAAGCGTCCGGGGGAGGATCACAAATAACCGAATGACGATGGGAGGCGTTTAGCATCGTTTCGGTTCTAAACGTAATGAGAGTTGAGTAAGTACTCGAATGTCGTCAATACACTCGAGATTTTCAAAAAATAACTGCAAATGGTCCAAGGAAAGATCTTGAACCTTTTGGTATAGGACTGGATCAGATTGGTAATCGAATGACAATGGGGTTTTCAGTTTACCAGATTGAGGATGAAACCAATCATAACCGGCCATTGCACGATTCCACAAACGCAAACTTTGAGCAACAAGACGCATTTTGTCAAAATTAATGAGTCTCACCGCACCCGTCTGTTCGGAATAGTTTGTCTGATTTGCGTCCTCGGCGAAGCGTAAATCTTTCAGCACCAAAGCTAAAAATGGCAAATGCGGTGGTTGGGTAGAAACAATCCAAGTGCGGGCTGCGCGATGATTTCGCGCCGGATCGATGAGCGGAACGAGACGATTGAAATACACACGTCGCCATCGCATTGGAACGCGTTCCCATGTGTGCGTAAGTCGTGTTACTGGGCTGCTGTGCAAACCGAGCACGATGGCAAAACAGGTATGCTGATCAAAGAATGGGGCATCAATTAATCGATCGGCAATTTTGATCAACTTCTTTAGCAATTGCGCTCTCCGACTAACACTTGTGCATGTAACTACTTGTGTGATAGTCCATGTATGAATCAAACTGAAATGACTAATCAGAAGGCGGATATGTGCGGTTGCGCTGTCCGATTTTTTCGAACCCAGGGTGTATTCAATGAGCTCCTTAGGGCCGATACATGCTGCTACACGAACACTAGCCATAGTGAGGATGGTAGCAACTTCCTCAACGGTTAACTCGTCAAGTGCGCGAAAACTCATTCCGGTTGAGGCCATACGACGAAGCATTGGTGAACCGGATTTCATATCTTTATGATGTAGCTCTTGATTTGAACGATATCGCTCAAGTTCATGGTGCTCAAGGAAATTCATTGCCACTGTTAACTGGATCGGTAAAGGAGCCAAACTTCGAACTTTACTGGCTTCAACCATAAAAAGACAACTGTTTGGAGAAAGTCCCAATACAACTCCGCGTTCACAGTCATCAAACACTACTCGCTCACCTTTCGAAGACACCTCGACCAACTTGTACTGACTGATATCGGTGTTTTCTGACAAGTGTGTGGTCATTTCTAATTTAATATCTGCTACTGTACAGTTTAATTGCATCGTCAGCCAATGCTGTTTACGCCCACCTTCAATATACAGGGGGAACCGTATCATGTGATACCTGTCGGAGAATGGGAGCTTGTTTGGTGAGAAGGAGCAATGTGTAAGCACTGGCGGATAGGTGTCCGCGTGCGAGAGACTCGTAGCACTTTTCAGCGAGTTATGAAGTCTACAACTTTGTCCTATTGCGGAATTTCGACCGTGTATTTCTGTTGACTCTGGTTGTCGTAAACGACCGAAGCGCATTCGAGGACCGG